TCGTTGTCTTTGTTGTAAACCATGAGCCTTTTTATGAAGAACGTTGAAATTGGATATTAGTAGGTCAAAATATTTTTATGCCATGATAAACTTTTATGCAGGGTTATTTGTAAGATGCTAACAACCTCCTACTTATCCCTATAGTACTAACATCATGAACAACAACTTTTGTTCCATGACTTTTAAAAATTCATCAGATTTTACTTTTGTACAAAAATAAAAATATTTAAATAGAACGTTCCAAACGGTGATAGATAAGTTCGTGCGGTAACAAACGTAAATACCGGTCCGACGCGAAACGCAGGAGCGGGATGGGGGTCAGAGAGGAAAGCGGGCACGTTTGAACTTACTTACCAAATACAGATTTTAAAAGTTTCCGATAGTACAACAAAAAATTACAACAAGTACAACAAAAAAGTAGTATAGTACAACAAAAAATTTAAAAGTTATTTTTGGGAAATGAATTATGTTTTGTAAAAAGTTGTTTATTTATATATATATATGTTACTAATTAACCTGCGATGTTGTTAATATTTTACAAATAATACTGTTTTTAGTTTTTATAAACATTTCATTAAACTCATGTGGCTCTATAAATAATGTAATGAACACTTATGTTATATTTGAAATATTGGAACAAAATATTTGAATTTTCATATAAAATAATTCATATTTTCTGTGAAAATAGGGATTATTTTAATTTCATTATATTAATCAGCATTAATGACATTGTTGTTGTTGTAATTAAATTTGGCTTAAAATTCAATATTGGTAAATACCGGCTTTGATTTAAACTATTGCGTATACACATATACATTTTATTTACTTCATAAAATATATTTTTACACGATTAAATCCCAGTTTTATAAATTAAAAAAATACCGACTTATATAAAGTATCTACTTTTACTACTTTTTAATATATACTTATACAAACTAACTACGTCTATCATTTATAAGAAATGCTTTTTATTTACAAGTGGATTAGAGAAAAAGAAATAAATTTCCTGTCTTAAGTAAAAATAGCACTTTGCTACATCAGCGTATGTCCTCAGTTCTAAAATAAATAAAAATATTGGCTTAGTCTGAAAAAACATCTTTGGTAATTGAATTTATTAAAAATAACTCTATTTTGATAATTAATCTTTATTGGTTTCTGAACGCTAATTATGCTAAGAAACTTAATGTACTGTCATGCATGCATCAATGCATATGTATTTTTTTCTATACAAATGTAAGTGCGCATTTGACCTCCATCTCACCTAATAGAAAGTGACGCTGAGGTCGACGATGGAGCATGCACACTTAAATAATGTCTCCTCAATCTCGCCTTGAAAATATCCAAGCTATAATGTTCAGGGAACAAGTCTGCAGGCAGAGAATTCCACTACATAGCCGTTCGCCATATAAATGTGGAAGCGTAACGCTTCGTGCGAATCTTTGGAATATCCACAACATAAGGGTGCAACCTAAGCCTACGACTAGTTCCCCAATGATGGAAAGGGGAAGGCGGGATTAAATCGTGTAATTTGTAAAGTGTATTAAGAGACATCTGCTCACTTGTATATCATCATTCATCATCATCACCCATGTTTCTTTGAAAAACGTGGTGATGTGTTACAGCGACGAACTAGAGCATAATAATGAATTTTTTATGCCAACCTCCTCGCTTCCAAGACATTCATAAGAAAAACTCATTTAATATGTCCATTAAAGTGTACAATCCTCTACCAGACCACTTAAGTTAAGATTCACGATTTTAAAAAGCTTTCTCGGTTTGGCTGATGGCTTTGTTTTCTATATAGTACTTAGAATTTAAGACTTTTTACTTTGACGTTACAAATTCTCTTACTAATATTTTAGGTTTAGTTTAAATATTAGTAAGTTAGTGTTAGCTTACATTTCTTAGCATTTACGAAGAGCGAATATTCCATAAATTAATAATCGATATCAACTCCCCGGTATCTAAAGTGATTTTGAAATTTATCCAATGAAAATATTTTCCGTCTGACGATAGCGATTAAAGGTTTTCTGCTATATAATCTATACTTTATTTTACTTGTTCTTTTCCTTGTTTTTTTTTTGATATTCACTCGTATTTTTCATATTTGTTGGTAGATAGATATTGACGTAATATTTCTGTATTTGAATATTATACACAACGGTAAGAAAGACGGAGAGAAAGTACTCTAAATATTGTAGATTAGATATTTTGCTGCATGGAGACATTATTTTATTTTTAAAAGTAAGTAATACTGTATTTAAACAACATAAATACACATTAATGTATTTAAACATTTTAAAAAATTTGCTTGCAAAAAACCTGTATTTTTAGGATGTCGATCAAAAGGGTCACTAATAAAAATGAATTCCTTTTAAGTAACAGGAACGCTATTAATTTTACCTTTAAGTTTAGGAAAATGAATTATTATACCTCTAATGCGTTACTACTATCGATATGCGTACGTCAAGATAGCATAGCGTCTGACACGATTTGCTGGAAGACGTTGATTCGAATCCAGCCGGATCGAAGGAATTTTTTTCTAAGTGTTCGATTTTTGTATTAATAATTATCTACTTTTATGATACCAAGTGGCGGGACGATCAAGTCGTGCGCCTGGTGGTAAGTGACATGCAATGAAAAATTTAATAGTGTTCCTTTAATTTAAGTTACTATGTTACTTAAAAGGAATTAATACTTATAACTGACCATTTTGATCGACATCATGAAAATACTAGTATTTTTTATCATTTAGTCGGTTCGATTCCCAAATAGATGCTCTATTTGCAGCAGCTTTAAAAACTTCGAATGCAATATAAAAATAAAATAATGTTTTCGTGAAGTAAAATACCTTGTCTACAATATTCAAAGTACTTTCCCTCCATGTGGGACAATCTGTATATCGACTGTGAACTGGCAACCGGTACTATCTCAATTTTGACAACTTCACAGAAAAAAGTTTTCTGATATTTTTATTTAATAAACCAGATGCTATATAAATGACGCAAACAATGTTTTATAAAGTCTTGTAAAGTTGTCAAAATTGAGATAGTACCAATTGCCAGCTCACAGTCGATATATGTGTATATAGTTAACAAGTTGTAAGATGTGCAAACAAATAAGAATTGGAAATGAAACAATTTTTTTCGGGTCTAAAATCGCGTATACATTAGCTTTTCCAAACAAATTACCGGCTGGATTCGGGCTCTTTACAGGTCACGTGGTCATAGATGAGTGCTGCGTTTTTAGTTCCGAAAAAATAGTTTCCAATATGTCGCAATCGCGAAACCCAAAGAAGTCATTAATCAATTTATAATAAGAAATAACTTTGTTTTCTAGACGGTTCCATCACCACTCGTTGAGCAATTTCTGACCCTAAGTATCGTTTTAAATAATGACTCATACCTATATCGTAAATTATTAGCCTAAATTAACATTTACTTGAAAACAGTTACTTATATGTATTAAAAAAACCGTAATGAGACATATAGGTACACTCGCTTTGGCTTTCTTTTAATTTCACATTGTAGATATTGTAGATTTACTTGATTATTAATCGACACCTTTACCTACTGAAGTATAAACAATGTATAACACGTGACATATTCTCGTATAAGGTGGGACCACCCAAGCTAATTGAACAGTCCTTACAACGATTAATCTTACATAAGACAACTACAGTCTTCGAACACATAAACATCAAGTTTATAAATGTTATAGATAACATTATAGTTACTTAATTAATTTTTAATTAATCATAGCGCTTAAAGTGTCTTGGTGGTAAATGAAGATTCAAGAAAACTGAGACCATGTGAAATATACATAAAACCATTTTTATATTTTTACTAGTGATGCAACAGAAGCGTTAGATCGGAAACAGATGTCAGACGTAAATCTTAGGGGAAATAGGAACGGAAGCGGATGCGGAAGTGTCAATACTACAAGATCTCAACGATATTTCGTTGAGTTCCAAACAGGGCTTGTTTTTGGTTTCATCGTGCATCCCACCGCCAAGCAATCCGCGCGTGTAAAGTTCCGTTACAAATATTTCGCAAGCAGAAATGGAAACAGATGTGAATACGGAAACAGTTGTGAATAAAAGATTTGTTGCATCACAAATTTTTACAACTGTTTAATTTCTTGAAATATGACCCAGGCAAAATACGAAATTCTAAAAACGAACATTCATACAAGAAAAAAATGAACTCAATAAAACCTTTTCTAAAAGTGCGTTAACATCAATATTCCTTAATTTTATCTGCCATCAAAAGTTGATTGATGAAGATATATCAAGAGTCGGTCGCAACGGAGATCATCGAGAAGAAAATGTTACATTGTTTTCCGCCTTAGTAGGTGTAAAATAGGTTGTTGCGAACAAGTTGCTACTTAAAGCCTGAGCCTCAGACGAGGGTTTCAGCGTTAAGACTTTGCAATAACACTGACGTTCGTGTCACACGTGACGTTTTTCTATAAATTTATGAGAATTTCGCTTTATTTCAGAATAAATGTCATTTTTGTCTCAATACATTTTTCTCTAGATTTCAGTGGCATGAGACTATCTGTTTAAAAGTGTACTTCATTAAAAACTTCAAATGGAGTTAATTCCAAAGTATTTGCTAATTCACTTGAATTACTTTTTTACTTGTTTAGAATATAACAACAAAAAAAGCAAAATAAAAATTATACCAATGTTTCGTCATGATTTTACAAACAGGTACACAGGTAAGAGGTAAACAGGTCAGGTGTTTGTCATTTAAAGTTAATTACGCATATTATGTACGAGTTCGATAATTGTGGAAATAAAATGATAAGATATTACTGAAATACTGAACCCTTACGAATTTGATAAAAAAAATTTATAACAAATCAATCATCAAATAATTCATAAACATTTATATCAGTTTAGCATATGCATTGCTTTTTTTATTTACTCATATTTCTGTATAAAGTAGTATTCAGGCAGTATTCTGAATTTATTTCCAACATAAAGAAACTCCGTGCTAGTAAACTTTTAAATTAGGTCCTGCCGAGGGCAGAAGGAAAAGTACCACTTTCGGAACACTTCACTGCTATAAAGAGTACAACTTTTCGAGAAACCGTATTGACGTATTTCTTTACGAATCATCAAATTAAATTTATTACGCATGGATATTAGTTGGAAGAATCCTTAGAGAAAATGTTCACAGATGACGGGAGCATTGCCCTTTATTTTTCTTCAGGGGATGGACGTTTTTGCCCTGTAACAACGAAAAATGTTTATATCAAAAAGGTGAACGGCTACAATTTACTAAGTACCCTTTCGCCGTGTGAGAAGTTTAAGAGATTGGCAGTAGCGTTTTAATATGTGAGAGATTGAGAAAAAATAAAACACAATAATTACACATTATCTTTTAACAAACTCGTGTAGGTTTAAAACTGGACTTAAATAATACTTTATGATCACTGTCACTGCTCACAAAGCACAAAGGTAGGACTTAGTGAAGGATTTTCAACGAGTTAACTGAAAACTGACACTGGCGATGATCGCCATAATTTTTATATTATTCTTATAAAAGTGACATTACAATAACTTAGCGAAGCCGGATAACATTGTTTATCATGAGTATTACGAGCTTAAGAAAATAACTGTAATACTCTAATAAATCAAACAATATTGAATGATAAGATGAAACAGAAAAAAATGGATGTAATGTAGTGAGAACATGAACAGTGCAGTATTTGAAATGAGTGCCAAATTAAATAAATTTCTTTGCGTTTATGATGATAAAGCATTTCAATTCAGTAAGTGAATTGAATTTTTGCGTTGATTCAAACATTCACAAGATAGAATGTGGCACTTTTATTACTCACATATTTTTATTTTTATCCGAGCTCGGTTGTAGCTATCTTTTTAACTTTTCCGTGCACCTGAAGGGAAAATAACATAGCTTCATAGGATGATATGCAACCAAAATGATTCAAACATGTGTAGTTATAGAATATAGGTAGGCATAGTATATAGATGCGAAAAGATAAAGATGCAAGATAGAAGGTACCTTTTGTCATAAATATTGTAACGTCAAGGCAACGCCTAAGAGTGCTTACACACGGCGATTTTCAGCAGCGACGCAAAACACTTGCGATTGCAACGATGCAATCGCGCGTTTGTATCGATGCAGTTGCGCGTTTGCATCGATGCAGTCGCTTATAAATCACAAGTGTAGCGATGCAATCGCGCGTTTGCATCGCTGTTTAAAGTCGCGCGTGTGTGTAAAGGTATTGATAACTGCATCGCGTTTGGATCGCTTCGGAAAGTCGCCGTGTGTAACCGCTCTAAATGTACAGTATGCGAGTAAATTTTCTTAAAAACAGTAGGATATTGCACTGATAAAAAAATCAGTTAATAAGAATTTCAAAAGCACATAGTTATTGAGCACTCACGTATTCTGGTTGATAGAATCAGTTTGAGAAGGTTTCTCCGGCATGAATCTGGCGAGATGTGGCTGTAATAGCAATTGCCGAAACGTCTGCCTGAACTGTCGGGACATGGTACAGTACAGGACGAAATTGATCGCCCCGTTCACCAAAGCAAGAAAATCCATTAACTCTCCGAACAAATCGTAGCAGCGCTTGAAGAAACACCAACCGAGTAATCCGCTCATCAGACCCAGAATACCTTGAGGCAGTTCTGTTACCAGAAACAAAAGAAGTACAGCCAATAACATTTTCGTTGTTCTGTCGGTTCGCTTGTCAGCCTTGTGCTGTCTTTTCACCATCTTCTCGGCTGCTGGACAAGCGCTATAGTTCCTCAAATTCTTCTGATGTAGATTCGCATTGTACAACGCTCTGATCAACCAAATACTAATGACCGTTAATATAGAACATGGGAGGAGTTTCATGAGGACAGCGTGCACCCAGAAAGTCGCTTTGTATAGAATTCCTTCGCGATCAGCGTCTACATGGTAAGCTATAGGGCCGCCTGGATCAGTCAAGTTCTTGGTATGAATATCAAATACCTGTCAACAATAATTACTTGTAGTACACGGGTAGTAAGTGCGGTTCACTGAATCGTTAATAATATATCATTAATATGAATCTTACCATAAACGTTGGTATACATAATATAGGAGGTAATATGAAGCTTGCTAGGATTGCAATGCTACAGCGGCGTTCCGTGCACAGAATATGGCTTTGGTCTGAATACCTGTGAAAAACATCAAAAATTAGTTACTAAATAAATATTGATCTAGTATTTAGAACTGCCTTCTGTGGCCGAACGGTTACCATGCTGGTCTGCCACGCAGAGGTCCCGGGTTCGATTCCCGGGCCGGGAGAAATATTTGTAATCGCTACATTTATCTCTCTCGTAAGTTTGGATATAATTTGTGGTTGTCTATGTGTGTGTCCATGGGACCTGCGATACAGGGTTTCCCTAGTGCGGGGCTAAGTGTGTGCGTTATTTTTGGGTCTCAAATAAATGGTTGCACAAAGGTTGTGAACTCAGAGCATAACACGTTAATTAAATTTTATATTCTTAATAAAAAATAAATTTTAGATAATGACATTAAAAATAAATGTTCCTGACAATGTTACATTATGAACAACGCTTTATCTATATCTATGTCTATATTAACGCTTTATAATTCGTTTAATAATACTAGTTTATAACAGAATGTTAGTGGTGGGAGTAAGTTATAAAAACTCTCATTTTCTCGCAAACTTGGCCCTTGCCTTGTATAAAAATAAATTTCAACGTATACGTATATATATGTATAAATAAATACAGCAATTCACTTTCCGTTTTAATTAAGAACGGGATCCTGTGAAAGTTTGTTATTAATTCTCCTTCCAATGATTTTCGTAGTCACAAAATAAACACCCAAGCGGTTAATTTTGATACTATTCTGTTCTTCTTGTTATATAATTCCAAGGTCAGTGATCTGAAACTCAAGACCAACTCAAAATAACTTTAGGTATTTCGTAGGTAAGCAAAAGCGCTGGGAGTCATAATGTGTTTGGTAAAATCGCCATGTTTTTCTAAACGTTCGTAGATACCAGAAAGTGCTTTCTAAGCTTTTTTTAGTTACTTAATTACCTACTCACCTAAAGATGTAAACGGTACCTTTTTTTTTTAAAATAAATTTCATTTTGTTATATTACAATGAGCACGTAAACTTGAATAATCTCAGTACAGACCTCAAAAGTTCGTGGAATTATATCTATTTGTTACTGAAATCGGTTGGTGACCGGAAAATGCGCGAAACCGAATTCATCCCCTAGTTTGCCAACCTTAGAGGTGGAATATTTTCTTCATATTTAAATGAGACCAATACTCTTTCCATCAAAATAAATAAACATCAAAATCAGTTAACAAATGCTGAAGTTATCACGTAACATACATACAAAAAAATACAGTCGAAATTGAGAACTTAATTTTTTTAAGGTTAAAGTGACTTAAAAGCATTTAGGTTAGATGCGGTCGAAGGGTCGTATTCCAGAACTCTACTCAATGCTCAAGTCAGGGCTTGAGTATGATTTATAGCACTAGAAATCATACTCAAGTCTTTGCCATTAGGGTCGTATTGCCAGTGCTTGAAATCATACTCAAGTCCTGCCTTGAGCATTGAGTAGAGTTCTGGAATACGACTCTTAGGCACGCAATGATTGTTAGAAACGTGCCATTATGAAGCTTATGACATGTGCAGAAATTTTGTATTTTTATTGATTATCATAATATTTTCACTATCATAATATTAATTTATTTTTTGTGAAAATATTCCACCAGTTTGTTATTATTATTGACACAAAGATCGAACACACACAAACAAAAATCCCTTTGACCCGAATGTATTCGAATCAGCGACTGTTGCCTTAACGTGATTACCGCTCTGTCCGTGCTACGGATCGAGTCAGCAGATCTTTCGAATTTCTCTATGTGATTGTTGCCGATCTTTGTATTGGATTTAAGCGCCTTTCTTAGCCGTAGCACCACCTGCAAGAACTTATGAATGTTCCTTCACTCAGCCAGGACCCATATTCTGCTAATTTTCATGAAACCACTGATCATTGTAATTTCATAGAGACTTCATTGAGATGATATTGCAATTATGACAATATTTGTTATTCTGCTAAAATCTAGTTGCAATGTCAGTTGAGTCTCGAGTAGAGTGTCAGTGGAATGGCAGTGACAGCGTTAATTCATTCAATCGCTAACGATTGATTTCTGTATCGGGCATCCGTAGGAAAATTATGGAAATAATATCATTCATATAACAGATAAACGGTGACAGCTTCCATCTAATTTAGAATTATTCTATCATATATATTAGTTGTTACTTTTCATATTGTATATTGATCAGTCATTGTTTAACTCAATTATTAAAATTATTACTCAGATGTTATTATTGGGAACAGTTTTATTTTTTATATTGTAATATATAGGTATAATTAAAGCAGAATGCACATCTAAAGAATAATTTTTAATTGTAATTATATCCTCGTTTTTAATTAGTTTTATCACCTTATAACATTCTTGTAATATTTTTTTACTCTTGGTTCTAAATTTAACATTTGTGTGTTAAGTATTTGAAACCGTCTACCTCCTCTTAAGCTCCAGCTGAAAACAAGCGCGGAGGCTCTGCCCAGCTAAAGTTGAGCTGGCTAATCTTTTCGGCTAATATTGTGTACTTTAGTTTTTAATCTATTAGTTATCTTCTATTTTATGTTTCTTAACAGATCTTGTGTTAGTTATTATGTTCTAATATTATTTGTGAATAGCCGAATAAATGTTTCTTTTTTTTTATTTCTTTGATAAAAATACCACAGAAATTACTATGCATATATTATTTGAAGCGATTTAAGTCTTTGAATTAAATGTATTTTTTTATATCAATTAATTAGTACTCTACGTCATCGACGTGCAGTCGGACTTGCCTTTGAAGAGCTGAATACCAAAAATTCCAATGGCATTTGAAAAGTAGCTCGGTGGCTAGTCACTGACAAGCCACCACTCTTAACTTTTAGCAGAATACCAAAGCACAAAACCCTGGCATTGACACTCTATCGACAACTGAGATGATTAAATATTAGCAGACATGGGTCCTTTACATCTACCAGAAAATTGACAAAGACGTCGAACAGAATTCTTCATACGCGTGCACCTTTTTTTTACTTGTTTGCTATCGTGAGAAGTTATAGTACCGGTAACACGCTATGATGGCCGTTTTGACGTTTGTCCGCTCATCAAGTTTCGTATTAATTCATAACTACGGCTACGTTGAAGGAGCTAATTGAAGTACATTGTTGTCAATAGTGAGGTGCAGAAAAATTTGTGGATGTATAATTTTACGACACAACTCCGCATTTGTTTTTTGAAATTCGAAATTTTTGAAGTAATCTCATACGATCGTCACTTAGGGCTAACTCGCGTCAAAGCTCAATGCAAAACAAAGCAGTTTCGAATTGACAATATATTCAAGTAAACATTTTTATTTTCGTTTTATTAAAACTTTTTAGTGAGCTACCCGTTGCAATACTACTTATAAATATAAAAACTTATTGATGTGACTCGCATTTGATTATATTTTTTTCGGTAATGAACTGAGATTTGACCTCAATATTGTAATCTGTCAAATCGGCTCTCATAGCGTGCTGGTACTGTAGTGAGATTACATTGGTGGCAACAGTAGATTACAAAGAATAATATTTTCGAATAACAAGTAATACAGGTACATTATACGTATACACGTATCTGACTTCATAATCCATTCATGGTTTATTTTGGAAGCCGTAATTTATTGAACATAAACTAAACTTCAAAGTCAGGGAACGAAGTTAATAATTTTGTACGTGTTGAATTGTTGTGTCTGCGAGTATAAACCTAGGCAGCATGTTTGTGTCTACCTCAAGCAAGATCACATTTACAAACACGGGAAAGTACAATAAACATTGTATAATGAGTTGGATTTCGACAGAGTTACAATTACGGAGTTTAACTCCCTTACATAAATTTATTATCTTTTAGCTGGGACTGTTCCCAAAACAAAGCACTTTAGCCGAGTGGTGATTGGTTTGCGAAATAAAATTACTCTTAATTATAATTGATTGAGAGTTAAAAAGCCGTTGTAGACAAATGGTTTGACCTAGCGCCTCTCAAGCGAAGCCGTGGGTTGGAATCCTTGTTCGCACCTCTGACTTTTCGGAATTTATGTGCGAAATTTAATTTGAAATTTACTGTTAATTTAATTTAGCTTGCGGGTGAAAAAAAATATCGTGATAAAACCTGCACTATGAAGAAGGTTCACAATCCTCAGACAACGTGTGAATTCCCCAACATTGGGCAACCGCACCGTGGCGGACTGTGGCCTGCGCCTGTGCGTGGTGTGTTGTCGTCTATGTAAATACACTGAATTACACACGCCCCGTCGTCGTCGAACGTGAGTTTCACGCTTAAACCCTCGCCTGACAGGAGAACCGTGCCCAGCAATAGGACGCATAAGATGAGATGCAGTAAGGAAACCCTGTATCGCGGATGCAATAGACACACACATTGATAACCACAAAGGACACCCAAACTCAAGAGAAATAAATGTATCAAGCCCGGGACGGTTAATCACTTAATCAACTGCCTCCGTGATCATATGGTCACGAAAGCATGATGATGATGATGATAAATTTATCGTGCATATGATGATGATAATTTTTGATACGAGCAATCTCGTATCAAAACGCGAAAATTTATTAGACGAATAAGAAATGCACATTTCTTCGTTTACTATTAGTGAAATTTCGAGATATCTCAATAAAGTTGTTAAATAAATATGTAGGTAAGTTGAGGTAAGTAGGTTATTACAATATGTATGTTATTAGATGATCTGTTTAACTCACTTGATAGCAATGTATCGCCATATAGCAAGTGATAGCGTGAGGCAAATGGAGGCGGTGTGAAGAATTTGTGCGAAGTGCATGTGAAACAGCAGGTACATCGCCCAGGAGTACGGAAAGTCCAGCTTCTCGGGAAGCACCTGGAGAGAATACTACTAATTAGGAATTAGCAAAATTGAAACCAACGTTTCGGACCCTTTACCGGTCCAATGCTTATGGCTGACTGTATGTCAGCAGTAGAGCTCCATGTGAAAGAGTTCGTCCAGGGAAGTACTGGCACCTTACCTATTTCTGCCGCCAAGCAGTAATATGAGCATTACTGTGTTTCGGTTTGAAGGAGAAGGGAGCTGGTGAAATTACAGGCACAAAGGGACTTTTAAATTTGTGTTTCAGGGTGAAGGGTGTAGTGGCAGTGCCCCTCAGATCTTTGCGATTTAAAGCTCTGAGTGGCACTGCAAATGTCTTGAACAGGCGTGTAGTTTACCATCAGGCGCACGAATTGTTCGTCCCGTCAATATTATAAAAAAAGTCAGTAGTGTAGTCAGAAATAAATATACGCGATTTAAATCCAAAGATCCAAAAAAATAGTTTCATTTCCTATGTGTAACAATAGCGAAAACCTAAAAAGTTTGTATTTTATAGTAAGATCGTTTGGTTGGCCTTCACTACACCTACATATATATGTATACCTACTTCGTTGCATTGTTCTAAAATCCGAACGAACCCTCTTTGTCACTTTTTGTAAGAATGAAAGAATAATTATGATACTTTGATTAGTAGCAATAGGTGATTGCAAGACTTGCGAGACCCTTTCAGTAAGATCAGTCTGGGATTAGTCTCGTTTTGGTCTTTCATTGGGCGACACTAATTACCGTATCTCATTATTATCGTTAACGAAAAAGCGGCTAAAAACGCTTTCCAGTTTTATGTCATGGCGTTTTTCAAATGAAACATAGATGTTGCCAAAAGTAAAGTTAATTTAACTGAAATTATTCCCAAACTGTGAGTAACAAAACTAACGTTTTGAAGGTAAATGGAATAGTTATCTATTTGCGTCATTTTTGCTCTGCAGTGTCTACCTAATCGAGCGCAAAAGCACGAAACTCCGAGTGAATTTATTTTTCTAAAGCAGTTAAAATCCTTAATGTCATATTTTTACAATAAGATCCCGAAGCACATATTAAGATTACCAGTTCCTAAGTTTCAAACTTAAATTAAAAGTATTTTAATTGACAAGTCAAATTACAAAATTCTAGACTAAGTGTTAGATAATGGGTGGAAAGACAACAAGAGTCTACATTCCACACGAATATGATTCAAAATGTATTCTATAGCATTTAAGTTTATTGGAAAAGAGCAATCCCTAGAGTTCTTTGCTCGTTCTTCTCAGGGAAGTCGGCGCAGTGAACGAGCTGTAGCTTAAAAAATGAAGCTTTCAAATGTCTTTCTAACTCTTAGCTCCATATATCCATATATATACGTTTATACATCTTAATTTTATATTACATATTATTCTAGCGGATAACACCTATATAGCAAAGGAATCCAAATGTACAATCACAGAGTAGAGTCAAACTTGGGTGCGCCCTTTTTAGTAGGTTAGGTTAGATTAGTGTATGAAAAGTGGGCGGTCCGAAATATCGCTGGAAGGATGGAGTCGCCAAAAACCTAAAGGAACTGAATATGTTCGAATGGTCGGAATTGGCACAAGACCGACAGAAATGGCGTACTTTGGTGTCGGAGGCCAAGACCCACTTCGGGTCGCTGAGCCAGGGAAATAAGTATGTAAATATATGAAGAAGCTGCACTAGCCTAAAATAGTGAGCGAAGGAACTGTGCCGCGGTCGAGTGCTAAAACAGAATTTGTTTGCATTTCAGAATAAAATATGTTAGAAATAATAATCGGAGTTTTTGAATAATAACTTTTATTTCATTTTTAATTTAGTAAAACTCATCTCATATTAAATTATTGTGTTAACATACATCTTTTATTAAGAATTAAGTGCATTTTGATTTAATTAAATGAATCAAAACACTACAGATAATTTATTTTATTGTGACAATCTCACAATTCACTCCGAGGTAAAACAAAACGATTACGAATATCGTTTTCTGTACAAAAACAAAATGTTCAATTCGATACATCAAACGAACTGTCGGGAAATGAGAATCGCGACACGAATAAGTTGTCAATGTGTCAAAATAGTAAAATATTGCAAGGTGTAATGAAAAAAATCGTAACGTGCTTTCGGACAAATGAAACAGAATTTGTTCAATAAAAGCAGACAGGTTTACGGAGAAACAAAACTCTGTAAATCATGTTTCTAGTTCGTGATAGGTAAACATTAAGATGTAAGTGGTTAGTAGGTTCTAGAATTAACCAGTACAAAGTCAAATGATGGTAATTTGGATCTTGTGATTGCCACTTTTAATCACTTTGTCAGACTAGAGACGTATGCGGAAACCGTTATACACCTTAAAAGTGTCTACCGAATAGAGGCACAACTGCTGTATAAAGTACGCATAGTTGTGCCTTTTTTCGTTACGAGGGCAGTGTTATGCTATTATTCCTAGTGTATTGGTTGGGGATCGTTATTATGTTAGTTATTTATGTAGGTACATAATCCATTAAAGTGGACGAGGAGCTTAAAGGTTTTTGTTGGTCAAAATCTTCCATAACTAACCTATTACTCACGAACCAATAGGCTATTACGTTTGACCTATGGAGGCTATCAACAACATTTCATAGTCGAAACCAAATACCGTCGTAACTCAAAATTGTAGAATTGAGAGAACACGATTTGAAAATACAAAAAAATATTAATTAAATTAATATATTCTCATTTATAAATGGATAATTAAGTATTATGTATAAATAAAAATAATCACATTATTAACAAAAAAAATTATTCGGTATTTTTTTAAATTTTAATTTAATGGTTTTTTCAATTCCGCAATTTTGATTTACGACAGTATTTGGTTGATGTGCGATTTATGGATTGGAAAGAACAAGACTAAATAATATGAACTTATTGGAACAAAAAGCAGAAGCTTTGGCAGAAATTTAAAAAGCTAATCTAATTTGATGTTTTTATTGTTTAAATTAATCACGAAAGATTGACCAAATGTATGAAAATACTATAGTTTTGCGGAATCAATTTTTTCCTTATAAAAATTACTTATTTGTTTAACAAGGGGAAATTATTCTACTGTTGTCATTAGAATTGTTTTTTTATATACCAAGTGACGGGACAAATATGTCGTGTGCCTGATGTCAAGTGACACGCCTGTCCTTAGCAGTTGCAGTGCCACTTACAGCTTTAAATCGTAAAGATCTGAGGGACATTGCCACTGTGCTCGTCACCTTGAGACATAAGTTGACTAGTCCCATTTGCCTGTAATTTCACCACCACCTTTCAAAACCGTAATGCTGTAATGCACACATTACTGCTTGATGGTAGAAGTAGATAAGGTGGCAGTACTTCTCTGGACGAATTCTTTTACAAGAAACTCTACATTTGAAGTCGGGGTCCGATGGGTCTTCCTACTCGGGGAGGGGCTGTGCTGGGTGCGACTAGCCCTCTGGTGGAGGCGCAGACGAGCAATAACGTACCCGTACTTCCACCTACAGCGGAGAGGGGGAAGACCCTTGGGGATTTGGTGCGGTCGGGCTGCTCCCATCCAGGGGTCAGCCCAGTCCCTATACCTCTTATACCTGTATCTGTAATCAGATTCCCCCGGGGTCAAAAAAGGTCCTCCTTTTAAACTCATCATGATCGTCACTAGCAGTTCAAAATGACAACACAACGTCGGTTCTGTTTTAGGTATTTATACCTATATTACTAACCTTAGATACAAGTTCAACTTCACAAAGACACTCACCAAATATTTATAAATGGCAAACGGGACATATTCCACCATAACAAAGACGTCGGCGACGGCGAGCCACTTGAGGAGTCGATTGATTGGTGCCGCGGCCATATCGCGTCGGGTTAACACAGCTATATTCATCGTGTTGGCTATCACGCCGATTGTGCACACCTGGAACAAACAATTATGTAATGTCACCTTGCCAATGCTCTGAATATAGCACCTCTTATTCGCTAGGCCCGATTTAAGCTGTGTTTAGAACGTCGTGGATTTACGATCATGAAATTTGTTCTCCTTGTTATAAGTAACGTGTTTGCGTTTCATAAATTTCGAAATGTTGGCACTAGAGATGGGAAAACTACTTATTTTTTTAAACGTTGAAATGTTGTGCTTTTTATCAAAAAGCGAGCTTTTCTAAACGCTTACGCTTTTTAGTTCGAAGCTTAAAAAATTGCTTAGACAAACCTTTAAGCGTAGTCTTTTATATGTTAAAAAAAGCTTGCAACGTTGTGTTGATAGCGAAAAGCAGGTATAGACTACTAAAGATTTTAAGATTTCGAAAACACGTGTTTTATGTTTATTTATAAAATTATACACATTGAGGAATTATTTTGTTTAGAAAACATAGATGGCGAGACTTGAAACATAAGCACATTGTAAAAAATCAAATAGTTGAGTATTGAACTGACTAACGCTTAAATTTACTTTTAGTTTAAACGCCCTCCTCTAATTGGCACCAAAAGTTTTTTATGCTAGTATTAATTCAGTTTCAATTACGCTGATTGTGCTTAACAATAAAACTGGAATTAAATAAGATATAAAAAAAACCGATTACGGGGATTTGTAGATCTCGTTTTGTTGGTCCAACAGATATGCCAATAACTCACTTTCGCTAAAAAGTCAATTACGTTAGGCATGATAAATAGGACAGAAATATTAGGTAGCTACTTAATATCCGCACCATATCTAGGATGTTTGCTTTCGCTTTCTATGTTCTTTGTAATTGTATTGCATCTACAGACGTAACACATACGATTCTGCTCGTAAAGGTTTCCGTATACAGACGATTCCTCGTTTCGATCCGTCGGTACTCCCCTGGCATCCAAGTTAATCGTTAAAGACAAATATACATTTTGATTTCTCGTTTCGATCACTTTGAAATGACAGATCGTGAAGGTAAATCGTCCCGTATATGGGGTAATTAAGAGCAAGAGACGCGTGGTTAACATAATTAAGGTAAAGGTTGGCTTCACATTATTCACAAAATAGTTTTTGATAGTAATAATATTTCATGAATAACATTGTTTACATTCGAAGCGGATATTCCAATCCTCAAAAAAACCGCTATTATTCTATAAAGTTTCATTTTAATTTAATTTAACAGTCAACATTTAACGTTTAACGTCCTTAAAGTTTAGAAAAAATTATACTAATCAAATTTATTTCTGACGTTTAAATTTTGTTTTGCTTCCTTTGACATCAGCAATTTGTTTTTAGTCCATTCACCTTAGGTCGGATATTCATTTCAAGTAAATGCACAATAAAAATTCATGTTTACACGTGGAACTGTAGATAAAACCAGTGTCACGAATTGACTTTACGGCTGTAGTATAGTAATTTAGATCTAGACACATAATACAACTTGTAAATTTTTTAAGCACACCTTCATAATCGTGATGTCTTAGAATACCTTGTCGGTTTAAATGAATAAATAAAGTACGTTGTGTTCTTAAACACACAAATAGGGAAGGACAACACAACTTAGAATAACATGATTTTTTTACACCTGTACCTTAAATGTTCATTTTTAATTGTTGTGCCTACGTCGTTCCGAGTCTTCATATTAACTGCAAAGGTAGATAGTATCAACCAGACCATTGTAGAAAAGAATATTTATTGATCGTATTCCGCTTGGAAACATCCAAACCTATTTACTTAATAACTGCCTACTAAATGTTGACTTTGGCAGACGTTCAACTACTTTACCCCCTACAATGGATTGCAAACAAAACGACGGTATTTACAATTAACAAAGGCTTGGTATTGGTCATTACTTTTGAGTAATTTACTTCAGACTGAACGAGTTATTTTGTTACAAAATTTGAGAAGCCCCTTTTGTTATTTTCATCCACGTGGATGTTAACAATGTTATTGTTTTGTTTTTTAATGAGTATTTAATAAATTTTGTTTGGGATTTTGGATCGTTCGACTTTTTTATGATACCAAGTCAGGGAAATTTGTTTTGGTTTGGGTATTGTAGTCCTTAAGGCTACGTTTAGGTGACCAGCGACTTTTGCGTTTTACTCCTAAGGCCCGGCGCCCATTGGCAGGAAGGCATGGCTAGCATTATTATGCCGCGGTATCCTTAGGCATGACGAAGCATACCGTCACGACATCATGTTAGTGTCTAGCCTCTCTTTGGATAAGTCGTTACGTTGCAAGCTGGTTTCTTACCAGTTAAACATTTAAACATGGTGGTAGTCTTTCTGAAGAAGAAGAAAAGTATATTCCAAGAAGGAGAACATTTTGGGTGAATAAGCTTCGGAATCGTGCCGAGACATCCTGAAGGCTGCTGAGAGTGCCTCCCTGTCGGTGTCCCTAAGCTTATCGCAGCTAAGATCGTTATAATACAAATTTCAATTAGGTATTATATCATAACATTAAGGTGTATTACTATTCGTCATTTAAAAATTCTCCGCCGTGCCATTCTGTGAGTGGGTACCGGGGCTAAGTTCGCATACTGACGCACCGCCGTTCACTTTTCAGCGCGTTTCAACTGTGCGTGTTTCGAAATCGTAATTAGTTTGCCGGATTACCGTTTACCTGAACCTGCGGTGAGATCTTTTGAGTGCTTCAACGTAATTTACCAGAATGTCCAGAACGAGGACAAAAGATTTTAAATACGGATCCTTTTTATAGAAGTTGAGAATTATCCTCCAGCGATATTGGATATAAACAAGAAGTCTAAAAAAAAGTCTTTGTAGGTGTAAGTAAAAGGTTAGTTATCTACTGCATTTTTACATGGCACCATTAGAATTAGTTTAAAATGCAACTTCGACTTCCTAGGTCAGTTTTGTCCTACTATGCGTAAAACCATTTTCTGGAAATCCCCAATTCGAAAAAGTAATCAATTAATACTTGGTTATTTTAACAACTCTATGTCGCTTCTTGTAGCTATATTGTACACAATATGTACATGTATCTATATATGTGGAACAACTTTTTCCGACCATTGAAATAAACTATATTAAGGATACGCACTTGTAACCTTTTCAATCAAAACAAGGAAAGATACTGACATATAAAAAGGGTTTTTTGGCATGAAACCGTTGCCCACCCAATTAAATGGCGGAAAATAATAATAAAAAAAAAACGAATATATTTACAATTTTGATTTCGCTGTAACTTCATTACGATAGAGGTACAAATTTTAAAACAATAAGTACTAAATAGCACAATTTCGGTACATTTTTTTGGTATCAAATATGTCAGGGTTGGTTAAGGTGCACATGGCACTCTGAAATTTCAATATATTTTGTCTTATTTCTCAGAAACTAACCAGCAGATCGAGCTGAAGTTTCCTTTACTTCAGAGTACTTACTAATAAGGTACAAATTTTTAGAATAAGAAGTTTTTATAGTTATTAAATAAATACTGGTAATCCGAGGTAATCATATAAGATGGTGATCATAATTGACAGTTAATACGGCGGGTGTACCTTTGATATTGCTATAACTTCGTTCTGACGGAGGTACAAATTTTTTAAACAAAGGTAATAAATAGTACAAATTAGGTACGTTTTCTGATACCAAATTTGTCAAGATCCGTTAGGTAGACCCGTCGTTCTGACTCTCACGAACCCAGGACGTCTGCGTGGCAGTCTAGTATGGTAACCGTTCGGTCACAGAGCCAGTTAAAAAAATAAATAAAATAAATAAACTTCTGCATCGATGGGACTTACAATGTATGCATTAAATAAATAACACTAGATGTTTCTGTTCATTGATTTCGGATACCAAACACATTCACCAATATCAGGCGCCTTGGGCATGGCCTTGGGATTTGGAAACATTCAATATTATCAACTTTTCAAATTATTTATGAAACATGATATTGGATTTCGCATTATCGTGTTTAATGTTTGCTACAATGTAAACATTGTCAGTATTAGCTTCATTCCGTAACACAATAGGAAACTTTACATTTTTTTTGTAAAACCAAGCGGTGGGATGAACAAGAGTAAGCACTACGCCTGTCCATAACAGTTGTAGTGTCGCTCAGAGCTTTAAATAGCAAAGATCTGAGCGGCACTCGTCACCCTGCGCCCGTCGCCCTGAGCTGCTGTGCCTGTAATTTCACCAGCACCCTTAAAACCGGAGTAATGCACCCAGTACTGCTTGGCGGCAGAAATAGGCAAAGTGGCAGTACTCTCATGGACGAACTCTACTTATAATAACCCAATAATAAATAATCTTTAATGTGAGTAATCAATATGTATATGCATAGGTAATGTAATTTTACTTTTAATTTTAGATTATACATTTAATTTTTTTTCATGTTTTTGTTTTATCTCACACGCATGTGGCAACACAATATTTATTTATGGACTTGGTCTGTTGCTCAGGTGACTAAGAACAAGTACGACGACCAAAAGACACATAGCAAAACGCATACGTCCGTCACTTTCACTCACTCGGCTAGGGCCCATTGAAAACCAGCGTCACAACCTAGCCTTGGTTGTGACTGTAGCTGAATGGGATCCTTTTGTACACGCCACAGCCGCACACATGTCACTATAGTATTATGTAACTTGTTGTTGAAATGTTTTTATGCTGTTCTTTGTGTTATTTCTGTTCTAGTTATATTAGTCTTTGTTTTTGTGTTTTTTTTTATATTGTGGCGTTACAATAAATGGTTTCTATTCTATAATATTCAAAAGGCACTGGTTGGAATCCAGTCAGATGGAAAGAATTTTTATTTGTGTTGTTCGATCTTTGTATATAATAACAACCCAATATAATTAAAAATTAATGATAAGGTCGGGACCATAGATTTAGTATATCCATAGATTGGCCCTGACGTATTGGAGACGAGACCAAAACAAAAATACATCTGTGTGCGTATAATGTGCATGTGTGCAAGATAAATAGTGTTGCGCCATCCACTGATTT